AAGTTATTGAAAACAAACTGTCCAGAAAGATAAAAACTTTACAAGCTGATTGGGGAGGTGAGTATAGAGCCTTCTCAAAATTTCTAGCATAGGAAGGAATCGAATTCAAACATCCATGTCCTTATACTTCAGCTCAAAATGGTAGGATAGAAAGAAAACACTGACATGTGACTGAAAACTGGCCTAACACTCCTAGCTCAAGCTAAACTACCTTAGAAATATTGGTGGGAAGCTTTTCAAACTGATACCTACTGTTAGCCCAAGAATAACTAGCCAAGAGAGGGTGAATTGATTTTTAAAACTTTTTCGACACTTAGTCTCAAAACAATACAATACGCAAGATATAAATACAAATTATAATGCTAGAATTAAATATGCAAGTTTGATAACTAAATTCAAGTATGGATATAACACAATATAAATGACAGTGTAAAGTAAAGTGCAATAATGTAAAGATAACAAACCAATTTAATGGGGTTTGATACACAATGTGTTCTACATCCCTATTACCAAGCTCTCCGTTACAAGTAAGGCTAAATGCACTATAATGGTAACTTACAAACAAGGAGTACCGATCCTTAAGTAACTTACAACAAGGAGCACTTATCCTTAGGTGACTTATAACAAGAAGTATTTATCCTTAGGTGACTTACAATAAGGAGCACCTATCCTTACAATCGAGTTTTCACAATGCTCTCGAAATAATTTTACGATTGAAGAAACTCTCTTAACCAATGATATAATCAAGTTAAGTATTAGAGAGTTAGGTAAACACTTCAATAGATAACAAATAATAAAGTTAAGTGTTTGTGTTGTAAACTTTGATGAATAATGGATAATGAAATAGTTTATATCTTTGTATCAAAGTTAGCTATGTCAATGAGCCGAGCCCGACCGAAAAAAAAAGTTGGGCTCGGCTCGAGCTTTTTTGGCTAAGCTTTTTTCGGGCCCGAGCTGAACCCGGCTAAAAAAATAAGGCTCGACCCGAGCCTTAATGGGCCGAGTCGGCTCGATTTTTTATTTTTTTTCAGTTATTTTAGTTGCCTGCTTTGAGCAAGCAACTTAAATTTTTTTTTTTTTTTAATTAAATAGCGGGCCGAACCCCCAAAATGGGGCTCGATTCCACCGAGTCAGAGCCGGGCTCAGCTAGGGCTTTTTCCGGATCGAGCTCGAGCCGGTGAGCTTTTTTGCCACCACTAATGAAAGTTTTCAACCTATGATCTCTCTTAATAACTAATATAAGTTAAATATGAAGAGAGATTTACAGTTCAATATGAGTGTTGGCAAAGAAAATTTTTATCAAGAATTGAAAGAGATGAGATTGAGAAGTTTCTTTATAAAATAGAATTCTTGATGAAATAGATGAAACTAGTTTTGATCAATCAAGAAATTCTTTGTATCAAAATTTTCAACCTATGATCTCTCTTAACAAATAATACAAGTTAAGTATGAAGAGAGATTTACACTTTAATAAAAGTGTTGGCAAAAAAAACTTCTATCAAGAATGAAGAAGAGATGAGATAGTGAAAGTTTCTTTGCAAAAAATTTCTTGATTAGATAGATGAAAATTAATTTGATCAATCAAGAAATTCTTTGTAATAAATGAAATAGAATTTATAATCAAGTAAACTCAATGATTTTCAATAAATATACTCTCTAAATTTCTCTTACGAAATCTTGAAGTTGAATGCAAAAGAGATGGGTAATTATAGAGCAAAAGAGGAGGCTGCATGAACTTTCAGTTGATCACTTTCGATCGACCGGAAATTTTCGGCTGACTTTCGGTTAACCAAAAGTTTGAATTTTTTTTTATAAATGCTTTTTCCAAAACCTATTTCATACTATGAGTCAAAATCATTTTTATGCAAGTGATGGATTATGAAAATAATTTGAGCTTTATGCATTTGTTAAAGATTGACAAGTTAATACTTTTACATAAAAAATATAACGTTTAATCGTCTTGACTTGTCGTTCTTTTGTCTTGTACCTTGATTTGCTTCTTTTGCGAATATTCAAGTTTCAATTCGATCGTCGCATGCAAATCGCTGTCGTCTCGAATGCTAACTTTCACTTTGATCTTCATTCCGAGTCCGATTTATGATGTATTCATTTGGCAATTCTTGATCGAGTTTAACATTGAACTATCATCACTCAAAATCAAATGTTAGTAAATAAAATGGCTTGTTTGTTATAATCAAAATATTAAGGTTATAATCAACCATAGGTCAACACCTACCTCATAAACATATTGCCAACACCCACTCTTAAAATGCACTCTCCTGATCAAACTTTGTAATAAAAGGAACCCAACTACCAATTCTTAAAAGTGTTTAGCTGTGCTTGTTATCCCTATTTGAGGCCTTATCAAAAACATAAATTTAACTTTTACTCAACAAAGTGTACATTCATTGGTTACAGTGAGTCCTATAAAGGCTACAAGTGCCTAAACTCAACTGGAAAGTTGTATATCTCAAGGCATGTAGTATTCAATGAACTAGCGTTTCCATTCGAGTCCTCAATCCCCACCAAAAAATAATCAGAACCAATAATGTCTGAAACCATAGTGTCATACTTTCATCTTCCCTCTGAAATTAACAAAACTGTCTCTATCTCAAGTCCTGTTGTGTTATTCATTCTGAAACTGTTCATGCTGAACATCACTCATCTTCTGACTTAAATGACAATCAGTATGATAATATGCTTCATGGATATGACCTGAATGAATCTGAAGGGAATGCTGAAACAGAACCTGCAGTGCTTGAACCTGATGTGTTACAAAATGATAAAATTCATCAACAATCAGATGATAATGAAATTGAAGAAAGACCTCAACAGAGAGCAGGAAATCTAGTTGAGCATCCCATGATCACTAGAGATAAAGCATGAATGTTCAAACCAAAGGTTTATCTGGAAAATTCAACTGACAACATCTCAGAACCTAAAAATATAATTGAGGCTATGATGAATGATGATTGGAAGAAAGTTATGGAGGAAGAATTCAATGCGTTGACAAAGACCAAAACCTGGGAACTGGCACCTCATTTACCAACATACAACATTGTAGGAAATAAATGGATCTTTAAACTCAAACATAACACAGATGGTTCAGTGCAAAGATTCAAAGTCAGACTGGTAGCCAAAGGTTTTCATCAAACACCTGGCATTGACTTCTAAGAAACATTTAGCCCTGTAATCAAACCTTCAACCCTTAGAATAATACTCACTCTAGCAGTTACAAAGGACTGGACAATTAAACGGTGGACATCAACAATGCTTTCTTGAATGGAGAACTGGAAGAGACAGTCTTTATGAATCAGCCTAAGGGATTTGTGGATGAATCAAAGCCTGACTATGTTTGCAAACTGAATAAGGCACTCTATGGATTGAAACAGGCCCCTAGAGCCCGGTATGACAAACTGAAGACAACATTTTTAAGCTGGAAGTTCAAGCAATCTGCAGCTGATACTTCACTCTTTTACTTTAAGAATGAAAGACAGATAATTTTTTTCACTTATCTATGTAGATGATATTGTAATCATAGGCAATGATCGGGATTTAGTGCAGGAGTTCATAGATAACTTAAACAAAAATTCACATTGAAGGACATGGGGAGACTACATCACTTTCTTGGAGTTGAGGTATTGTGGCATGACTCAAGACTTCATCTCACACAAACAAAATACATTGCAGATCTGCTTAAGAAGTTTGAGTTGCAGAACTTAAAACCATGTCCTACACCTGTTCCTGTTGGTAAATCATTGTTCAAAACTAATGGAGAAGTGCTGAAGGATTCCTCAACTTATAGAAGTGCAGTAGGAGGTCTGCAGTACCTTCAACACACCAGACCATATATTACTTTTGACATTAATAAATTAAGGCAATTTTTGTAAACACCTACATCCTCACACTAGCCGGTACTGAAGAGAGTATTGAGATATCTCAAAGGAACAATAAACCATGGACTATGGATTTAAATAAATGACAGACTAACCTTGAATAGTTACTCAGATGCATGGGCTTCCTGTCCAGATGATAGAAGATCAACAATCGGTTATTGTGTTTACCTAGGAGAAATCTTGATAGCTTGGTCTTCAATAAAGCAGCATGTTGTGGAACGTTCAAGTACTGAATCAGAATATAGGGCCCTTGCATCAATTGCCTCAGAAATCACTTGGATTCAATCGTTCTTTCAAGAATTGGAGCTTCCACTGACTACAACTCCAACAATTTGGTATGATAACATAAGTGCAGGTTCCTTGGCTTCCAATCCCATGTATCATGCTAGAACAAAGCATATAGAATTGGATGTACATTTCATCAGAGATAAAGTGATAGCAAAAGAATTGGAAGTGAAATATGTGCTTTCTTCATACCAAATTGCAGATTTGCTGACTAAGGGATTGAACCACTCAAGATTTCTCTTCTTGAAAGACAAGCTTGGAGTTACTTCGGTACCTTTCAGCTTGAGGGAGGGTGTTAAGGAATTAACAAAAGTTAGCAGCTCAATCCGGTAAGAACCTAATTTGGCAAGTGCTCAATATGGTAAGTAAAGATCCGGTGAGTAAGTGCATATCCGGTGAGTGCATCAACTGTCTCTTTCTTTGCTGTCTTGAAGCCATTTTGCCAGCACACATTATGTTGTAAATGATTCTAGACATGATCCACCAATTTAGGAACTAACCAACAGTAGAATATTCTAGATAATTCTTTCAACATTTTTTTGTATTATATATTTGCAAAGCTATGGCCATGCAAAACACGGTTGATTGCAATTCTATTTCTCCCTTTGAACTTCAACTAGTGATGACTCTTGAAAAATTGCAAATACATTCTATACAATTGAATATACTTAAGTTATAAAAAATAAACTTCTGATGTCTCATCTCCAGTCGACAAGTTGTCTCTTCCCTTTTAACGTGATACTAATGCAGTTCTTTGGGAATAGTTTCTCTTCATCCATCATCAGTACTTGGTGTACTACGTGTTATTTAAGTAACTAAATGTTGAGGAAACCATACTATTTTACTTCTTTGATTGGTCAGAAAGATCCTATAGAATTAATGTCAGCTGCTGATATTGATTTTCAGGTTTTTGATGTTCTTCTCTGGGATTATCTATGCTTATTATGTACTTGTACTGCACTTATACTGAAAATTGATGAAGACGATTTTGGAGGTCATGGAGCGCTACTCCAAGAGGGCCTCTTTGCTTCAACATCACTCGTTCTTGTATGTACGCATTTTTCAAGTATTCGTTCCTTAATGTTTACGGTAAAAAAATAACAAATGTCACAAACTTAATCACTATCCTCTTCTGGTTTCGACTTGCATGGATTCTAGTAAATAGTTTGGGACACTTTTGATTTACTATGTCTACTCGGAGCCTCTTTCTTTTTCTCTCTTCATCAGAATGGCAATTGATATGTTTAGCTTAGAAAATACGAGGCAAAATTTCTGCGTCCTGAAACATCTAGAAATTTCAAAGTTGACTTTCAGTACATTTGTCGATCTTCACTCGATTGTGCAATGTTAGTCTGCAAAGTGCATGTGCAGGAATTGCCTAACCTTAAATTAAATTGCAGTTTTTTTTTTGTTATGTCAAGGTTACATGGATATGGATTTATTAGATTGTAGATTAAATAAAACCCTATCAACAGGGACGGACACAGACTTTTTAAACAAATACATCTTTCTCAATATATGCAATCAAATTATCATTCAACCATTGATCTCCGATTCGATTGCGCAGATGATTTTTTGACACAGGTCATCGCAGAAAATGATCTCTCGACTGTAACAGTAGTCACGGGAAGAACTAAGGCTAATGTCACAAGTTTGTAGACTAATTGATACACTTCATATTTATTCTTTGTAACCAATTTCTGCGCAAGATCACTAATACCCTGTAATCCTTCAAAATTTTCGGATGTGCGCATGTCAAGAATATATGTATCTAATTAATCATTAAGTTCTAAGATATCTATTGCGCCAAAATCAAATGGATAATACTGACATAGTGGAATCACTTTGTTCTTGTCAAAAGCATCGAATGAGTTATTTGGAGACAAACATGTAACACAAAGTAGCAAGTCACTATTTACCTCAAAAAACGATCATTCAGCTCCTGAAGTTGTAATCAATGATAGCATAAAACATTTCAATACGATAATGATGCAAATTTGTCACTGTCTCACGCCGTGAATGACCTAGAGTTATGAACATATCATCCATATTGGGAACATTGATCTCGTGAGCTTTACAAAATGAACAAACAACCTCAAAGAAAGAATCTCATCCATCATCCCTCATCATTTGGAGCCGTGTTTTACATAATTGCACCAATCTCATGGCATTGACAATATCTTGATACTTTCGTTGTAATACTTTTGACAATTCATTTGAACTCCCCAGAATCTTTTTCATAGGATGTAGATTAAATGCAAATTCAAATTTTAACATCAACTCAAATGAAATACAAACATCACCTCTTGTTCCGGTACTTGTAGTGTCAGTTGCATACATGACATAAGAAATTGGCGGCAGGGTAAGATTGGTGTCTGAGTTAATAATATCTTTTTATTAAGTTTAATTCTAATTTGTGAGAACTAAAAATTCTTACTCCAATATTCATCTGCAGGATCTCTATATTACTAATACCTTTCTTTACTATTGCAAAATTATGCTTTAAAAGAGCAGTTATTTAAATAAGAAATTCATTATACGTTTTCGGAGCATTTTCCCAAATCTTAATAATGTCTTTTACTCCTGTCATGTTGTAAAATTTTTGGTTGAGTTGTTAACTTTCTTTGCTAATTTTGCAGGGCTATGAGACTCTTTAACTTCTACATCAAGGAATACCTTGTGGACAGCGTGAACATTTCAACATTTTACTTCCCTTTTTTACCATTTTGTCCGTCATGTTTCTGTAAATGAATTTGGCAAGTTTTGTACATGAAATGATCAATCATTTAGGAAAAACTGGACTTCTCTATATTCTTTTTGCATACAACCCTAACTACACTACTTGTCAATATTTTTCTTTCTATATTATTGAAAAAAAAAAGATTTCAAAATCTTGGGGAGGGGAGGCGAGGGGGGGGGGCACTTGACCCCCCAGGTCCGCCCCTGCCTATCAAGTTTTGTTCAAAATTGCAAGGATATGAATATGAATAATGCTATTTATCATTATAATGATGGATCATTGGTGATGGGGCAACTTGGGTGGAATAATGGAATAAGATAGTTCAATTTCTTTCTGTTATGGAAATTGAAGTGTTCTATCCTATTATTTCAAATAAGCTACCACATCACTGATAATCCATCGTTATAATGATAAATAACATCATTTATAAAATCCTATGTTTTTGTTCAGAATTGTCAGGATATGAATATTGATTCGTACTTTCATTATCTTTCTTTTACTGTATTGATTCTTTTAAGTTGTGTTTGTTTAAGCCTCATGAGAAGTTGATTATTTAGAAGGATATTGTGAAAATGATTTTTTTTTCATCTGTGGGTTCATATTGGATGTGGGTAAATTGTTTTTGAAAAATCAGCTTCAAACATGGGCTTAATAATCTATATTTCCTAGACAACTTTTCATGCATGTTTAGCTAAGCTTAAAAAGTTTATTTTCAAGTAAAGTTACTTATAAGTAAAAAAATAAGTTTTAAAATAAATAATTCTTTTATTGATATCCTCCTGGAATGAGCACACGAACTTCAATCCTGACTCTTTACGCAATTTATCTCCTACAGATCTTCCCAAAAACTCCTCATTTTTCAACTTCTTGATCTTTAAAATAACAACATTGACGACACAATCTTTCCTACAGGCCCAAGCGAAGAATGCAGTTTGGTGTTTGACTTGATGGATTTGATGTTTTCAATATGACGAGCGCATATATGATTGAAGGATTGAACTTTTTATCTTGTGTATGATGAATTCTCTCGAGAAAATAGTATGTTCAATCTTACTTTCGTAGAATATGCGGTGCCTCTGTTTGTNGGACATTTTAAGAAAATTGGGCCAAGTAAAAGTCTCGAAAATCGAAATTAGGTTTGGTTGATATAGTAAGTTGCTCAACCGATAAGCATATTTCGCTCGAGCGAAGGGTCTGTCGCTTGAGCGACAATTGGGCGAAGGTCGAGCTAGGATGTTCCTGCTTCATCCGCTCAAGCATGACTCCGGTGACCAGCTAGTGAAAAATCGACGTGAATCTTTCTCGTTCCAAACATGAAATCCCAAACCATAAGCTAACCTACAAACTATGAAACTTTACAATTTAGTCCCTAAACTTTTATAATCGTTCAAGTTGGTCCTTTTGTTCACAGAATCGCCAATACAATATATAAACTTAACACTTTCAAATGGTCATTTACCTCATTTAAAAAAATAAAAACAAAAAGGTCATTTACCTTAGATCTTGAAGCTCAACTGAATGAATTAAAGAAAAATGAACTCACACAGGAAATTCTGATAAATTTATTCTTGGACTTTTATGGACTAAAGACATTTGCATTTGACAGTGAGATATCAGAAAATACAGTGGCAAGAATTCCACGAGGCTACAAATTATGTAGTTAATTAAGCTTTTTTTTTCTTTTCAAATCATATTTTCTGCAATGATATATACTCATGGAAATTTTCATTCTGGATTCTCTCTCTTTGTAAAGTTTTAGTTAACGTTCTCCCATTTACCCTGTTAAAGGAGCTTATGCCATACCGGATTAAAGCATAACAAGAAAATCTAATGTTCCAATCTGTTTTCTTCTATGCTTTCCTTTTATGGATGGAGCAGAGAATATAATCGAAATATTAGATTCTCTTGCTATCTCAAATTCAATTTTTCTAATCCAAAATTCAGATTCTGTGGAAGATGTCTTACTTATCTGAAGACGAAACAAACATAAGTGAATCTGTTTGAAATTTACAGAGTTCAAAACGCTCAAGTCACAAAACAACTAATATTTTCTACAAAGCATAAAGAAACCATAGAAACTGAAATTATAGAATGACAGAGTTCTACTAGGGAAAATGATCGACTTTTCAACCGCTCAAGAACAGCCCTTCCACGTCTCACAAATCGCAGTCCAGAGAGAGAGAACAACCGGCCATAACCACTCAATACTTGGCTTGGATCATTGATCAAAGGATCTACCAAAATCAGCCAAGTTCAAGTCACCAAATTGACCTAACCCTTACGAGAAACCAACACCATTCAGCTACTATTTCAAGCCTGAATAATATACAAGGTTCTCTCAACAACAGGCTAAAGAAGACAGTGAACACTGGAAGAAGAGACGGACTCAACAGAGAGAGAAACGGACCAACAGAGAGAGAAAAGAAGAGAAGTCTCAAGGAATGAACAAAAAAAAAGCTCAAAAGTCGAAGCCCAAGAGAAAATATCTCACAAGAATAAACCCCAACCGTCGATCTCATCCAAGGGCCACAATCAATTCTAAAATATCACAATCCGTGTGACTACCAAGCTACCAATAAGTGGGTGACACTTAATCAGTTAAGTAAAGAATAAGCAATAATATAAATGTTACAAATAGCACTAGCCCAATAGTCTAAGTGAACCACTAAAAGCCCACGGAATCTGAGTTAGATGAGTACGTGAATCGATGCTATGAACAATTGAAGAATGCCCCTAAGAAGGTTCAGTATTCAGATAAATTATACAGGTGCCCTTACTGCCCAGGAAAGAAGAAGCTGGTCTATCATTTTAAGGACCTTCTTCAACATGCCTCTGATGTTGGCAGAGGCTCAATGAACAGAGAAACCAAAGACAAGGGGAAGCACTTGAATAAGGATATTGGTGGGGAAGATATATCGTCAGAATTTGCTGGATTAGCTATTGAACTTCCCACAGATGGTGCCGTACATGACTTGTTTGTATGGCCTTGGATGGGGATTCGGGCCAATGTTGATGTTGAATGCAGGGATGGGGTTTATCTAGATGTAAGTAGTTCGAGGCTTAGGAAGATCTGGCCGAGAAAGGGTTTAATCCAGTACGGGTTCGATTACTGTGGGAAAAGCAGCAGTGTAGATATGCGATAGTGGAATTTAAGAAAGATTGGGCTGGATTCTACAATGCAATGATGTTTGAGAAGAGCTTTGAAGCTGATCATCATGGAAAGAAGGAATCTTACACAACACCTTATTTGGTCGATAATAAAATGTATTGCTGGGTTGCCCTGGATGAGCATTTTAATTCAGAAGGTGTATTTGGTGACTTTTTACAGAAGAATGGGGACTTGATGACTGTTGCTGATGTAGAATCACAAGGAAACCGGAAAACTGGACAACTCATCTCCAATTTGACGAACACCATAGATGTTTTGAAGGCGCGTCTTGATGAAATTGAGAACATAAATCCGAAAGGCCTTGGCAATATAGGAAGTCAGAAAGTTGAATGATTTGATCTTTTGACAAAGGTGTATTATTTTGCTTAGTCAGAAAGTAATTGTGGTTCAAATTATTGTCATTAAATGCATGTTTCTCAATACTGTCCAGTACTATTCATTCCTTGACGAGAAACTTGCTATAAATGTATTACTAGTTTTGCTTTAATTCAGCATCTCTACGATGTGCAAGATGAAGGCTCTGGAGAGTTTCAACTGTAGATCGAGTTTTGTTGATGAAGTTGGAAGTCCATGGTATGGCACAAGGACGTAACCAGGAATTCAATCTTGCGGGGGCGAAAATACGAGGGCTGGAGGGGGGCAGGGCCCCTGAAAAATAAACTGCCTATCTATATAACAGATGGTGGAGATGGCTTGAACATCTGAAATTGGTCTCTCCTTGTCATCTTCACTTCAAACTCGTCAATAAGAGAATCTAATGGAAAAGGATTAATAATCTCANCCTTCTCTATATACACAAGCATGGTATTGGACAAAAAATCATCTTCCATTCTATTACGCAATATTGTCTTAATGACACTCATAGCTGAACATGCACGTTCTGTAGTTGCTGTTGAAACCGGAAGAGTCAAGATAAGACGAATCAATCTATCAACAAGATTATAACTTATTGATTTTCTTGTCAATGCCCGCAATTGGTACACATCGGGAACTATTGTCAAAACTTTAAATTGAGAGTTACGCTGAACTTCAATTTGATATAACTCCAATTGATCTTTCAAATGCAACTTCTTCCGCTATAAAGTCAGCGGGATAAATTTATCTGCAAGCTTACAAATATTCTAAACATCAAAAGTCTTGTAGCCGTCTCTAGGATCTAATGATGAGCTAAGAATAAGCAATTCCATCACATCTTCCTTAAATCTATCTCTTAACTCCTGAACTTGAAAATCAACTATTGCAAGAAACAAGTCAATTTTGTAATGATGTTGCAAGTTGCAAAGTGATAGGATCTTTTTGCTTAGAAGTCCTCCCTCGACCTACTCTATATAAAGAAGCCATATCAGGAATGTTTATGCTTTTGGGTAATTGATTCATAAATGGATCATTTGCTTTTGGATAGGATTTTGGGCTATTTATTTAAGTAACTATTGGATATTTTGTTTATGTCTAAAAATTTTGTATGATTGAATTTTAAAGTGTAAATTATTGGGTCAATATTTATTAATGAAAAAAAAATTCAAAATTTTGCGGGGGATCACATATTTTAATTGGAGGTGGTGGATATTAGTGTGGAAGACTTCCATCAAGTTCTAAAAGAAACAAGCATTAACTTTCCGTCTGAGAAGCTTGAGCATCTATGCAGCATGGGTTTTATTGTCTGGAGTGAATTTTGGCAGGTTCTTTTGGATTTAGATAAGAGTTTAGGTGGTATGAAGGATTCATCTGGATTGATGGGTAAGAAGGTCTTTGATCTTTACCACTTTAATGGAATTCGGATGAAGTATCTAAACCTGAGCCTGCTCAACATGCACCATTGGTCGACTACATTAGAACTCGCTAGAATTGTGCTGTTTGCAATTGGGAAGGGGACACGCCAAGTATTGTTTGATTAAGTCATTAGTTTATGTGCATTGTTGGTGTGGGATACGGATGAGGACATCGTTTAGGTGTGAAGAGAGATCATACACTATTTGAGATAAGTAATTCAATCACAGCAATTTAATTGGAAGAATAACTTACATTTCATTAAAAGAGTGATTACATGGTAATCCAAAGGGGCGAAACTGAAAAATACATTACAAATTAACTAAAAATAGTGGACCAGCGGACCCCCCTATCTTTGTCTTTGGTTTGGCATATGAAATCTATACTTCAAAATGAAGCTTGGTTGGCTGTACTGTGAATCATTTTCCTTTTTAGTTATTTTTATGCAAGAAATGTCAACTGAAATGACTTGTTAATATGTTGACCTCAAAGTTCTAACTTTGGCACCAGATGCTGCACCTGGTATTAGCAGCTTTATTGTGGAATTTCTCATCTTAGAATGAACTTTCCAAAGAAATAGCTTACCTTTTATAATACGTAATACGGGGCAAAATTGCTAATAGTAGTTTCTAGCAAACATATGCATTGGGTAATTAGCACAAAACGTCCCCACCTTTCATTGTTATTGTGGAAAATATCACTACCTTTCATTTTTTGGTATTTTCACCATTATTTCCACATTTCATTGCGCAAAAAGGTCATTTTCATCCATTTTCTTAATTAAAAATTGTGAAATGACGAAAATACCATTTCCTTTAAATCAAACAAAAGAAAAAAGAAAAAAATTAATTGCAAACATAGTCCCAAATTTTTTTAAAAAGCGCAAATGAGTTCCAAATAAATTATTAAAAGTGTAATTAGCACATAATACCCATACCTTTCACTATTATTGCGATTTTTGATATTTTCACTCTTATTTCCACCTTTCATTGCACAAAAGGTCATTTTCATACATTTTCTCAATTAAAAATTGGGAAATGACGAAAATACAATTTCCTTTAAATCAAACAAAAGAAAAAAGAAAAAAAATTAATTGCAAATATAGTCTCAATTTTTTTTAAAAAGCGCAAATGAGTTCCAAATAAATTATTAAAAGGGTAATTAGCACATAATACCCATACCTTTCACTATTATTGCGAAAAACATCCATACCTTCTTTTTTTTTTTTTTTTTTTTGCATTTCTTCCTTAATTATAATTTGATAGCGCGAACCATCATTTGTATTCATTTTCATCCAATGTCTCAATAAAGAATTGTGAAATAATGAATATACCCTCATATTTAAATAAAAATATATATATATTTTTTAATTTCTAATTCTTCAATAATTTATTTGGGACTCGTTTTCATTTTTAAATTTTTTAAAATTTTTTTTAAATAAATCTAATTGGGACTCGTTTGCACTTTTCATAAAAAATTAAATTTTTTAATAATTTATTGTGGACTCGTTTGCACTTTTTTAAAAAAATTGGGACAATGGTTACAATTAATTCTTTAGCTTTTTTATTTAAATATAAGGGTATATTCGTCATCTCATTATTTTTATTGAGAAATTGGATGAAAATGGATAAAAATGATAGTTTGCTCTATCAAATAATAATTAAGGGAGAAAATGCCAAAAAAATAAAAGGTATGGATTTTTTCACAATAGAAGTAAAAGGAAGGGACATTATGTGATAATTACCCTTTTAATAATTTATTTGGGACTCATTTGCGCTTTTCAAAAAAGTTGGGACTATATTTGCAATTAATTTTTTCTTTTTTCTTTTGTTTGATTTAATGAAAATGGTATTTTCGTCATTTCACAATTTTTAATTGAGAAAATGGATGAAAATGACCTTTTGCGCAATGAAATGTGAAAATAAGGGTGAAAATGTCAAAAAATAAAAGGTATGAATGTTTTCCACAATAACAATGAAAGGTGATAACATTTTGTGCTAATTACCCCATATGCAGGTGTACTTAGTTTTAGAGTATATCCTCCTCATGGTGGTATCCATAAGCTTTGATGGGCTGCTTCAATTGCTGATTTTGACCCTGCTATTCGAGAATAATTTTCCTATAGGTTCTATAATCTAAGTCTGTGATTCTATTTCGATTTCGGTTTGAAGGTTCAATTTTGATTAAAATGTCCATTCATAATTAAGTTATTTCAAACAAATTTGTGACTTAATTTTTGATCCCGCAATATAAATTTTTTTTTTTACTCCGGCACTTCTTATATGTAAAACAAGTACCAGAATATTTAGCTATTACTTCAGGACGTGTGAATGTTTGGCTAACTCCAAAAATAAAAAATGTTCACTTACATATAAATAAGAAAGATTTAGATTAAATAATTTACTTAATGTCAGTATAACGCTATAAGCTGAGCTAAACATGTTGGTTTATTTTATTAATAAATAATTTATCAAAATAGAAAGCAACTCAACCCAATACTCAATACCTAACCCAACACCAACATGGGACGTTTTTTCTTTCTTCTTTATTTCTTTTCCAGTATTCTTCTTCGTGAAACTCTAAAAGACAAGGGTTTGATTCGTGCTTACAGTCGAAGCTATAAATCTAAGTTATAGAGACGTAATTTTAATTTTTGATAATTATAGGAAAAAAGGATTTCTGCAAAAGAAGTTGCAAATGAGATGGAAGTATAACCTTGGTGTGATTCGAGGGAAAAAACAATTTGATGAAAATGTTGATGATGGAGAAATACAATCTTTTGAAAAACCTTTTATAATTGATAATTTTGTTTATGTGATTATCCAAATATGTTTGAGCAATTCGAAATATATGAAGAAAATTTTGGACTTCTCTTCAATTTTAAAAATTTATAATAATAATTGGATGAAGATGTTTTTAAGGGGTTTTGCTTTAATCTTGAAAATGTTCTAAAATATGATGAATTTTCTTATATAGATCGAGATGCTACCAAAAACTTGTACCTGAATGAACTCGAATTGGATGAATGAACTCCATACGATCTGATCTACAATACCTAAAACAATGGCGTTGAAGTGTATCATCGTCTCCCTTCCGATACTTAAGTCAGAAAGAGAAATTGTGTAAAAGACTGTATGTGGGAATATGATGTAAAATGCACTTGAATAATGAGGTTGGGTCATGTATTTATAGATATTGGGGATGGAGTCCTAAAATGATTCAACTTCATGTAGTCCTATCTTTGTTATACAAAGTGTTTGTATTATGTTAGAAGTGCACGGTTTGAGTTAGAGTCAAATTTGTAATAGGTTGGGAGTTTGTACTTAAATAGGAAAAGTGGGGAGTTGTAGTCAGAATATGATTAGCATTCCTAGGAAACATGAGACAAGGTCAACGAGATTGGACAAAAGTGCTACAAGCCCAACCCCTATAATAACCCCGACCTTGACGCTAAGCCTGATCTTGGACCTAGCGTAATTGAGGCGGGCTGAGTTCGGGCAATGAGCTCAAGCTCGAGCTCGGGCGTACGACATTACTACACATCACAGGCCCCTATGCATCTAGGT